CACACACACACACACACACACACACACACACACACACACACACCCCTTTTGCAGGATATCTAAGCTGGTTCCATTTCCTAGCTATTCTGAATAGTTAAGCCATAGACATTAAGAAACCCAACATTTTATTTTATGGGTAAAAGCTTATAAACAAGTGTGATTAAACAATTGGGTACACCTGTGGAGTTATCTTTCAGGCAGGCTTCAGGACATACTGGGTCTGACTCTCCAACTTGACCTAGCTGTATGTTCAATATAGGCTCAATATCAGCACAACTGTGGGAAAGATAATTGTCAATATGATTATGTGACCCCCTAACTACTAACACTCTCTTTTTTTAAGCTTCAAGAATTCAGAAAGAGGTCATCTCAGTACATCATTCTTCTTACTCCTCCTCTGTGCTACTTTTTTTCTTTTAGAAATATTTTTGCTTAATTATATTGTATCTTATTTCATTTTACTGTTTTTGATACATGGTTTTTCTGTGTAGCCTTGGCTGTCCTGAGACTAGCTTTGTATGCTGTTATCAACCTCACAGAGATTATCTAGTCTCTGCATTTGAAGTGCTTGGATTAAGGCATGCATCACCACCTCCTGGCACTTTATTATATTTTAAGGTTATTTTATTTATTTGCTTTTGTGTGTTTCTGTGTATGTGTGTGTCATTCATGTATGTATATTATGTATGCATGCATGTGGAGTCCAGAGGACAAGCTTCTTTAGGAGCTCTCTACCTTGTTTCTGGGACAAGAAACAGAAACTCTCTGAGTCTGTCTCTGGCCTGCAGCTAACATACTGGGGAGACCCTGAGGATCTGCTTGTCTCTGCCTCCCCAACTCTGGAATTACAAGGATTTTTTGCTTCTTATAGTTCCATTTTTTGCTTCTTCCCTTGGGATAGCTAAGCACTGCTGTACACCAAGCAGGCAAGGATGAAGTGGGGCTGAATTTTTTGGTCCGTGCCTTCTCTTGGGGTATCTGGATCACAGTGCACACTAGGCAGAAAGGATAAAGCAAATTCTGGAGAGGGTGGGTCAGCAGGATTCTGGTCTAGCAGTGTGTGTGGGGAGGAGAAGGTACCATGAGATGCTGAGAAGCAGCTATATATTTTTGTTTTAGGGTGAAATGTTCTGTAGACATCTGTTAAAATCCACTTGGTTCATTATTTCTGTTAGCTTCATTGTGTTATCTCTGTTTAGTTTCTGTTTCCATGATCTGTCCATTGGTGAGGGTAGGGTGTTGAAGTCTTCCATTATTATTGTATGAGGACCAATGTGTGTTTAGAAATGTTTCTTTTACAAATGTGCGTGCCCATGAATTTGGGGCATATTTGTTCAGAATTGAGAGTTCAACTTGGTGGATTTTTCCTTTGATGAATTTGAAGTGTCCATTCCTATTTTGCTTGATAACTTTTGGTTGAAAGTCTATTTTATTGGATAGTAGAATGGCAACTCCCACTTGTTTCTTAGGACCATTTACTTGGAAGACTTTTCCCCAGCCTTTTACTCTGAGGTAATATCTGTCTTTGTCTTTGAGGTGTGTTTCTTTTATGCAGCAAAATCCTAGATCCTGCTTGTGTATCCAAGTCTGTTAGCTTATGTCTTTTTATTGAGGAATTGAGTTCTATGATATTGAGAGATATTAAAGATACATAGTTCCTATTATATTTGTTGTTGTAGATGGCATTATGTGTATGTGATTCTCTCTTTTTGGTTTTGTTGTGAGATGATTAATTTTTTGTTTTTTCTTTGGTGTAGTTTCTCTCCTTGTGTTGGAGTTTTCCTTCTAGTTTCCTATGTAGGGCTGGATTAGTAGATAGATATTTTTAAATTTTGATTTTGTCATGGAGTATTTTGATTTCTCCATCTATGATTATTGAGAGTTTTGAAGGGTACAGTATCCTGGGCTGGCATTTGTGTTCCCTTAGGGTCTGTATGACCTCTGTCAAGGCTCTTCTGGCTTTCAGGGTTTCTGTTGAGAAGTCTGGTTTAATTCTGATAGGTCTACCTTTATATGTTATTTGTCCCTTTTCTCTTACAGCTTTTAATCTTCTTTCTTTGTTCTGTGCATTTAGTGTTTTGATTACTATGTGATGAGAGGATTTTATTTTCTGGTCCAATCTATTTGATGTTCTATAGGCTTCTTGACCATTTCTGGCCATCTCTTTCTTCTCCGATTTTGTTGAAGATGTTTTTTGGTTCTTTGAACTGGGAATCTTCATTCTCTTCTATTACTATTATTCCTAGGTTTGGTCTTCTTATTGCATTCTGGATTTCCTGGCTGTTTTGGTTTAGGAGGTTTTTTTTGTTTTGTTTTGTATTTTCTTGGATTGTTTTGTCCATATCTTCAAGGTATGCTCTATGCCCAAGATTCTTTCTTCAATCTTGTGTATTCTGTTGTTGATGCTTGCATCTGTAGCTCCTGATCTCATTCCTAGGTTTTCCATTTACAGGATTGCCTCCATTTGAGTTTTCTTTATTGTTTCTACTTCCATTTTTAGGCCTTGGGTGACTTTGTTCAAGTCTTTCACCTGTTTGATTGTGTTTGTTTGTTTCCTTTTCAAGTGCTTCTACCTGTTCTATTGTTTTCCTGTATTCCTTTCAGTGAGTTATTTATATCCTCCTTAATGGACTCTGTTATCTTTATGAGATAGTATTTTAGATCAGCATTCTGGTTTTCTGGTGTGTTGGGTTATCTGGGGCTTGCTGTGGTGGGAGAATTGGGTTCTGATGGTGCCAGAGTATATTGGCTTCTGTTGCTTATGGTCTTGTGCTTGCCTCTCACCATATGGTTATCTTTAGTGTTAATTGATCTGGGTCTCTCTGTCTGGAGCCTGCCTCCTTTGTCCCTGAGTTGCTGCTTGTCTCCTGGGAGACCTCTGGTGTGGCAGATCTCCTTGAAGGCCTTTAGACTGTGGGATCTTCAGAGGGACAGACTAGCTGGTGATCTTCCCTGATACCCTGGGTGCAGCAGATCTCCTGGGCTGCCTTCAAACTGTGCCTTCTTCAGGGGTGCAGACAAGCTGATGATCCACCCCAGTAGAAAAGAAGGTGGAGTTTGAGCAGTGGTTTTTTTTTTTTTTTTCTTGAGATGGTATTTTACTATGCTACCCGGGTTATTCTCAAACTCAAAGGCTCTGGTGATTCCCTTACATAGGCCTCTTTAGTAACTGGATTACAAATGTTAGTGACTACCTTCAGCTTAATAAATATATTTTCAAAAATTGTTTAAGGTCTGCAATGCTCTGCCTGCCTTCATCGATTATCTCCCAGGGAGTCATAACAAAGTAATTAAAAATATTACTGAAATAAAAAGTTATATTTTGGGGCGAGTGAAAGAACACCAAGAAACACTGGACATGGACAATCCTCGGGACTTCATTGACTGTTTCCTGATCAAAATGGAACAGGTAAAGTGTTATTTGTTGGCTTATGTTTCATCAATTATTTCTATTCTTATTGGGCAAAATTTAACTTTTCAGGCAAGAACCACTTGGTAAGCACTTTAGGTTCCTATTGTGGGCATGAACTGGACTTGCTTCACTTAAGATTTAAAATGGAATTGTTAAGCAATCAGAATTATTTAATAAGGTATATGAGGACAGGAAAAATACACTTTGGGTGAGTTAGTTAAAAGTGGACTTGATCACACAGGAGAACAACAGACCTGTGGTTAATGTAGCCGGTGATTTGAGCTTGTTACTAATTACTAATCTTTGTGACTAATGAGACTTGGGCTTGTTACTAATCTTTGAGTATTTGGAGTGAGATAGCATGAGTGAGGATTTAAGATAGGCACAGTGAAGTGATGAGAGGCTAAGATGTGTGTGGTAACATGCAGGAGGGTAAGAACCTTAGCTAAGTGTAACCAGAAATGATTCTGGATATACAATCAGCTAAAAATGTCTTTGAGGTGCTCTGAAAATGTAGGTATTGGCATGATGAAATTCCACTTATTCAGGTGTTTCTTTAAAACAAAACAAGAGTGCAATGCTCTTGCTACCAGGAGGAATCACTGAGTTCAGAAGAGTGAAATCTGAATTCAAGAAACAGCTACAAGGCTTCTTTGGAGTGTCTTAATGATAGTCTGCATTATAAAAAGATAGATTCTGAAATAATGTCATTAATCCTGGCTTATTCTCAGCCATCTTGAAAATTTTAAATTATTCATGTGTTTTGTGTTTGTGGGTGTTTTGTGCACCAAAAGAGGCATCAGATACCATGGGACTACAGTTATAGATGGTTGTGAGCCACCATTGAACTCAGGACCAGCCAGTGCTCTTAACTACTGAGCCACCTCTCCAGCCCCACCATCTTGATCTTTAATCTCTCATATTTTAAAAGTCTACAATTTTGTTCATAGGTACCTTGGCTATTTGCAGTGGATAATGTTGGAGATAATAGGAGAGCAGGCATCTCTGTCACTTATTAATTTCAATTTGGTTTTGGATGTATAATGAGTGAAATGGCTGACTCATGTTCATTTCATTTTTACTCTTTTGAGGAACTGTCTTTCTGTTTGCCAAGATGACTGTAATAATTTGTATTAGAATAGGAATGTGCAATGTTTCCTTTGTCTGCTCCCTCACGTGCACTTTCCAATGTTAAAATAGTCTCCGCAGTAATTATCACTGTTAGGGGTCCTTGCATAACTGTATAAAGCAACCATTAGCCCCATGGTTTAGAGAGCCACATATATGTTTAATCCCCTCTAGCCTAGAGTCATTGATTTAAGAGTCAACTTACTGGGAACCTTTGAGATAGTGTTTCACTTATGGCCTTTCACTCAGAAAATTCTGTATGCCGGGGCTTTTAAAGAATTTTATGATAGCATCTTTGGATTGTAATTATTGGACCAATGAAGTTTTAACCTTTACTTTTAATTTTGTGCATGAATATAAGTAAATTCTTAGTTTACAAGTGTGCTAATCTCTAAACTCATTCTTACATCAACATATAAAATCAATATACATTTATATACATGAATACATAAAGCATATATATACATATAAATAAATATATCAATTTTTATATGTTTATTGATTTATATATATTGATGTATCAGTAGGTAGAAGAGAGTCAGGAGTCTCTTATTCAACTTTGTACGCACTCCAAAACCTTCAAGCTCTTTCTGGGTACAGTGGTACATGCCTGCCATTTTCCATGTTTACACTTAACATGAGTATTCATATTGATGTTAAAAATTTATTATTATTATTATTGTTATTATTATTACTATTATTATTATTATACAATTATGCATAGGTGTTGTGTTTGTTTGTCAGTGACCCAGAGATGTCAGATACTTTGGTGCTAGGATTACATATGGCTGTGAGCTTCCAGATATGGATACTGGGAATAGAACTTGGGCCCCATGGAAGAGCAACAAGTGTTTTTAATGGCTTATTTCTCCAGCCTTCATACAGCTGTTAAACTACTTATGCTCCAGGTGAGGTATACCATCTCCATTGCCATTTGTGTTTTAAGAAAGAAAGAATGAGGGCTGGAGAGATGGCTCGGAAGATAAGAGCACTGGCTGCTCTTCCAGAGGCCCTGAGTTCAATTCCCAGCAACCACATGGTAGGTCATAACCATCTCTAATGAGATCTTGTGCCCTCTTCTGGCTCGCGGGCATAAATGCAGACAGAATGCTGTATACATAATAAATAAATCTTTAAAAAAAAGAAGGAATGAAAATTTTGTATCAGTGGATTCTTTTTGTCATGTTACTGGTGTGGCATGCTCTGAGAAATTTAATTTTGATGCAAGGAAGAAATAAGGGTATAGAAATGAAGATCAAGCTAGTTAATTTACATTCTGTGCTATACTGTACATTTGCTGTAATATTTTATGCACTTCACATTCTAAATTTGCTTATTGTCAACCAACTTGTATTATTTGAAAACTGTTGAAATTAGTCACTCTCTATTATGTATAGTCACTCTCTAATAACAAAATAAAAACTTTCAGGAAAAACACAATCCCCATTCGGAGTTTACTATTGAAAGCTTGCTGGCCACTGTAACTGATGTGTTTGTAGCCGGGTCAGAAACCACGAGCACTACCCTGAGATATGGACTCTTGCTCCTACTGAAACACACAGAGGTCACAGGTACAACTCTGAGATTTGTGAGGCAAAGTCTGTCTTCTTCAGATAGCCTGAAAGAAGTTTTGTGTCACCAGATGTCATTTGTATATATATGATGAGATACAAATGAGACCAATTATTTTTCTTCTTTTTCGAGACCAATTTTGACAAAAGAGAAAAATGAGTAAGAGAAATAAAGTTACTGTGATTGTCAGTAAAACACCAGAGTTCTGAATTCAATGAAAAGATGCTCTGGGTAGTATCTGTGTCAGTGTGTGTGTGTGTGTCTGTGTGTGTAAATATGTATGTGAGTTTCAATATTTTGTGTGACGTGGTCATAGGAGTGTAATTTATCTCTATTGTAAAACTGCTTACAAGTAGTATAATAAGATAATAGAAATAGCTATTATTTGTGAACGTGAACAGAAACTACTGACACAACTTCTAGAACATTTAAAAGTGAATGCCTTTTGGAGCTATATGAGTAAATAACAGGAAACTAAGTTTTACATGTGCACAAACATACACATACAGACGTTTAGTATTTAGTTTAAAATCTTTATTATTTATTTTATGTATTTGGATGTTTTGCCTACACATATGTCTGTAGACCATGTGTATACCTGGTGTTCACAGAGACCAGAAGATGGCATCAATTCTGGTACTTGAGTTATAGACATTTGTGAGCCACATGTGGATGCTAGGAATTAAATCTGGACCCTTTGGAGGAACAACCAGTGATCTTAACCAAGGACATATCCTTCCAGCTCCATGACTCAATTTTAAAGTATCACTGTTATTTAGATGTGAAATTAATTCTTGTTATGTGTTTTTTTCCAGTAAGACAGTAATGATTAGAATTCACATGTATAAGAATTTCCATATTGAAATATTCCATCATCGCTGTGTTTAATACCGTGTACAATGATGTACCTGTTTGCACATGTCAATCTTAATGCCTAATTTGTCGGGGGGAATTCGTGTGTTTCTAAGTGTGTGTGAGGCCTGATACCTTTATAACATTTCATATAGACTTGAATTGTTATGACAAATGTACCATTTCTTAATTGTGTTCTATTAGCTAAAGTCCAGGAAGAGATTGATCATGTGATTGGCAGACACAGGAGTCCCTGCATGCAGGACAGAACCCACATGCCCTACACAGATGCAATGGTGCACGAGATCCAGAGATACATTAACCTCATCCCCAACAATGTTCCCCATGCAGCTACCTGTAATGTTAGATTCAGAAATTATGTAATTCCCAAGGTAAGCTTATTCCTCTGACCTTGTACTTCAGTTGTCTTGTAGTTTCTGAATTAAAAATATGATTCTAATCTTCCACCAACACAAAATGAGAAAAGCTGAAGTAACCTTTTACTATTATACAGTGACCATCTTTGTCTCCTTTCTCTGATTTTGGCTTTAAGTATATTTTATCTAATCATGGCTACTTCTGCTTTATTAGGGTTGAATCTCTTTCAGTTCGTATATGTCCCTATAAGTGAAATAAGTTAACAATATGACTATTTTGTTGTTATTGTTTTATTTTGAACACTGAGTCTCTTGTGTTTTTTTTAATTTGAAAATTTAAGCTATTTATAGTTAGGTAATCATTGACAAGTATTGCTTTCCAAGTGTCATTTCTGGTCTAATTATAGCTTCTTTATTTCTTCTTTCTCTTTTAAATGCTCTTCTGTGGCAATGTGATTTATTCTAAAACCTGTTTTGCTTCCTTGCTCATTTCTTGTGACTGTCTACTGTAGATTTTTGCCTTGTATAATAAGAAAACATATTTTGATTTCAACAAGCTATGTTGAAATGACAAGTAACATGCTGATAAAGTTTAAAAAGATATAAAGAAACAGTGACAACAAAAATGAAAAAGAAAACAGCCCAACAAAAACTCTGTGTCTGTACACCATTCTCTCCTACTTTTAAATCCCAGTCTGCGTCTCTCTGCTTTTCTGATGTGGTTCTCAGTCTTTTGAGCTCCCACGATTCCCCTATGTCTGCCTCCCAGTGCTAGGCTACAGGCATGCGCCACCATACACATGTACATTTTGAAAATTTATCCTTTCTTCTTTTCTTTTTCTTTCTTTTTAGTGCTGGGGATTGAACTCATGGCCTTGCACATGCCAGCCAGGTGTTATTGCACTGAGCTATGGCCCCACGATTTGATTTTGATGTTGTATTTTCTATTTTCTTATATTAACTATATTTTTACATACTTATACAGCTATTATTTTTACTCCTTTTTGTCATTCATAGTAAAGAGATGAATGGTTTGTTTTATTCTCTTACAATGTTAGAACCATTTCAACTATTCTGTGAGTTGTTGTTACTTGTGAGCTCCATACATTCTCATGTTTTTTTTTCTTTCTTATAAGCTGGCACCTCTTTTACTTTGTAGAACTCCTTTAAAATTTATTTAGGTCTGGTGGAAATATAGTTTCTTTCTTTCTTTGTTCCTTTTTTGTTTCTTTGTTTGTTTGTTTGTTTCTTTTTTTCTGGAGATTTTATTGATCCTTTAATTTTTTAGGGCTAACTTCAATGCCTAAAGTGTTCTTCCTGTATTTTTTCCATGAACGAGAATTTCTAAGACAATGTGGAAAAGCAGCCATGATAGCATCCTGTTTCTTTCATAGTTAAAGTTTAAAATTACATTTATTTTTATTGATTGATTGATGATTGATTGATTGAGGGAGGGTGGGTCAGAGGACCACTTGCAGGAGTCAGTTCTCTCCTGCTACCTTCTTGGTTCTGGGAATCAGACTCAGGTTTTCAGACTTGCATGCCTTTACCTGCTCAGCCACCATTGAACCTTTCCACTCATTGAACTTTTAAAAAAATTATTCATTTTAACATACCTCTCACTGCCCCTTCTTCTTGGTCACTTCCTACCACAATCCTTCCCCTATCCTTATCCCCTGTGTGTCCCCACACCCTGGCACATCAAGTCTCTGTGTGGCTAGGCACATCCTCTTCCACTGAGGCCCAAAAAAGTAGCCCAGTTAATAAGAACATATCTCATGTATGGGCAACAGCTTTTGGGATAAGCCTTGTTCCAGTTGTTCAGGACCCACATGAAGACCAAGCTGTATAGCTGCTATATATATGTGTGTGTGTGTAGGCTAGCCTGTGTATACGCTTTGGTTAGTGGTCCCTTCTCTGAGAGCCCCAATGGTCCAGGTTAGTTGACTCTGTTTTCCCGTAGAGTTCTTATCTCCATCTGGGCCCAAAATCCTTCTCCAATTCTTCCATAAGAGTTTCCAATCTCCTTCTGCTGTTTAGCTGTAGGTCTCTTCATCCTTCTGAGTCAGCTGCTGTGTGGAGCCTCTCAGAGGTCAGTCATACGAAGCTCCTGTCTGCAAACATAACCAAGCATCATTAACAGTGTCAGGGATTGGTACTTGCCCATGGGATGGATCTCAAGTTGGGCTGGTTATTGGTTGGCCATTTTCTCAGTCTCTGTTCTATTCCCTGTCCCTGCATTTCTTGTAAAGAGGCTAAATTTCGGGTCAAAAGTTTTATGGGTGGGTTCACATATTTTATCTGTTATTTTCAGGGCACGGACCTAGTAACATCATTGACTTCTGTGCTACATGATGACAAAGAATTTCCCAACCCAGAAGTATTTGACCCTGGGCATTTTCTGGATGAAAATGGGAACTTCAAGAAAAGTGACTACTTTATGCCTTTCTCAATAGGTGAATACAGTTTATTTCTGTTTTTACTTCAGGTACAAGGTAAACTTTTTGGGGACACTGTTGTCTTGGCTGACCCTGAACTTAATATTCTTGCCCTATCTGTCTGATTATTTGACATCATAGGCATGTGCCACAAGGCAAGATTCCACCAGATACAATTCTGAGATAAAACGGATTGCCTACCACATCCTCAGGGACAGGTGGTTTTGTTCTTTGTGCCTCCTCGGAGCAATTCTCCCATTGCTCATATGTGTCCCTTGATTACAACACATTCTGATTGTTCCTTCACATTACTTGGGCTTTGAGAATATCCAGCCTATTTTTTTTTTTGACTTGAGAAAACTAAAATATAGGCCATTTGACTTTTGCTTCTGCATATACCTCTATCTTTCCTAAGTGCTCCTGTTGGAAGTGAGCCTCATTTAGACTTTTCTCAGCTGCATGAGAAAAGTATCTCAATCCATTCTTAGACAGCTCTGGGAACCCAAGTGCTTTAGAGAATATAATAGAGACTAGGCTCTGAAGAGACTTACTTCTGAGTTAGGGAAGCTGGTAGTCAACAGGGCACTGTAATCCAATTGTATTAGTGCTGTGAGAGAGGCAAGCTTGGGTTCCTGGGGAGGTCAGGAGGGAGGTCACTCACCTCCTGTTCTTTCAAACTCACAGGACTATCCTGATAAGGCAGAAAAGTTGGCTGGCTCACAGGGAGCAAAGAAATAAGACAAGAATGGGAGGGAGGGAACTGTACCAAGGAACAAAGTACAGGAGCAGACATGTTCTGCTGTCAGAACTTGACAAGGATGGAGGTTGAGAAAGACCTTGGGCATGTGGAAAGACACTCAGCAGTGATCCCAGAGCCTCTGGAGTTTCTTTACTTATGATCCTCCACCTCAGATGTTCAGTCTCACTGCTCCACTCTGTGGAGTCACATTCATTTTTGGCATGTGCTTTTATGACTTTGATGTGGGTCTGCATTGTACATTCTCATGTATGACAGACTGAGCCCTTCCTTTTAGTGAACTCATATTTGGAAAGTGAGGCAGAAGATGACATAGCAAAATGTTCAAGTGGTCCATGTTGTTGGGGAAGCAGGGATAGAGAGGAAGCCTGGGAGTGTGTGTGTCAGCATCTCCTATCTGAAGAGATTTTGAAGAATCATAAAGAAATGTTACAGACTGTGGTCCTTGAGGAAAGTATCAGAGCAGCGTTTCTGAGACAATTGGTGAAGTGTGAAGCTTTATGACATTGGAAAATGGGAAAGGGAGCTATTAATTGAGCTGAGGAGGGTTAAACCTTGCATTTAGTATCAGACAGGAAAAAACATGTGAAGGTCCAGGAGAAGCCATTCCAATATTGTCTCTTGTGGGCAGATGCAGGAGATGTATTCAAAGTGAAGGAGTCATAGATATAGACAGGTAACTATGAAAAACTGAGTGTAAAAGTATTTTGTAGCTGTTTACTTTCCCATATGCACAAATAGAACATAGTATCTGAGTTGCTTTAATGCTTCTCCTTCAGCTACTAGAGCAGTGAAGACTGATGTCAAATTGAAAGATCAAAGGTAGTTGTATGAATTGTTAGTAAAGTTGTGCTATAGAACTTATAGTAAATATTTAATGAATGAAGGGTGCCTCCTAAACCAGATATTGAACAGACAACATTTGTGTCCATGGTTGTGTGCATCTCTGTTTAAAAATCCTTGTAGTCATTTAGTATTTGACTCATCCACCATTTAAGAATCAAGCTTAACTGTCTACCTTTATAACAGTTCAGAACCTACTTTAAGGAGAGAAACTTCTGTGTTGTTTTTGTTTTTCAGGAAAGCGAATGTGCGTGGGAGAGGCCCTGGCTCGCATGGAGCTGTTTTTGCTTCTGACCACCATTGTACAGAATTTTAACCTGAAATCTTTCGTTGATACAAAGGACATTGACACTACTCCAGTGGCCAATACGTTTGGTCGTGTACCACCTTCATACCAGCTGTACTTCATTCCTCGTTAAAGCAGAACACACGTGCTACTGCTATGCTGGTGTCTGTGACTTCTCAAGGGCACTTCCCATATCCTCTCCACTATTAGGGTTATCTCTCTCATTTCTCCTCTCACATCTCTTCATTCTCCCACAATCCAGTCATCATTCTTCTTTGTTTAAGAAGATTTTCCAGAGTTATCATGCAAATCCATCCTTTGCCCCATTTAGTCTATAACACTTATATTGACTGTGAACTGCACTAAGACATGTGCTGTGTTACTAGTACATTATGGGTATAATACAGAAGAGTTCAACTGAGAGCCATCTCTGCTTTGATTGATCCAAAATAAAAGGAGTTATTAACTGAAGAATCATTTTTCAGGCTTTTTTTCCCACATAATGCATATAAAGAGTGAAAAAAGTAAGGTTAGTATTATAATGCTTAATGAGATATCATCTTTCACCTGTTAGAATGGGGATTTGGAAATTAAAATGAAACTGAAAAAAATGAATTGGTAATAAGTAAGAATTGGAATTCTTTATTTTGTCAACTTTTTCAAAATCTGGGTAGTTGTAGTTGCTTAGGTTTATTTCTTGGCCTTCTATTCTAGTTCATTGGTCTACATGTCTGATTTTGTGACAGCATTATATGGTTTTTGTTACTATGGCTCAAGAGTGTAATTTGAAATAAAATATTTTGATAACTCCAGGATCAATCATTTTATTTAGTATTGCTTTGTGGTTTCTGTTTTTCTTTGTGCTTTCATATGATTTTTAGGATTTTTTTCTATTTCTGTCAAAATGCACATTAAAATTCTGATGAAGATTGTATTCATAGATCATTTTCACTAATGTAGGCCTTTTCCTGACATCAATTCTGTTGAGCTATGAGTACAGGAGATCTTTCCATCTTTATATGTTTTATTAGTCAGGGTTCTTTAGAGTCACAGAACTTATAGAATGCCTCTATATACTAAGGGAAATTATTAGAATGAATTATAACTAAGCCAACTAAACCAACAATGGACAGCAATGGATGGGAAGTCCAAAAATCTAGTAGTTGCTTGGTCCCATGGGGCTAGGCATTTCAGCTGGTCTTCTGTGTAAGCTGGAATCCTGAAGAAGTAGGTGCCAACAGATATGGTGGCAAATAAGTGCAAGCAGACAAAGAAGAATAAACACTCCCTTTCCATATTGTCCTTATGTAGGCCTCCAGCAGAGATATGGCCCAGATTAATGGTGTGTTCCACCCTGCCTGAATTTGGAACTTGCTCTGTCCCAGCCTGGTCTTGAGAGTTCTGCTTGGCTTTGTCTCCTAGGATTGAACACATGTACTACCTTGCCTAGGCCTGAACTTTTTATGGCCACTATTGAGTCGAGATCTGGATCACAAATGTGCCCTCCGTTTCTGGATTGTAATTTCATTCCAGATGTAGTCAAGTTGACAACAAAAATAGCCATCACACATGTCTTATTTAATTTCTTTCCTATTTTTTATTTTCTCATTTTTATTGTAAACAGTATGTAGTAGGAAAATTTCCCCGAAAGTTGGGAGAAGCTAAGGTGGGAGGAGTAAGGAGAGGAAGAGGAGAGGAAGAGGAGAATGAAGAGGAGGAGCTAAGGAGGAGAGATGTAGGAGGCATGGATGACAATGCATGTATTGACAGCAGTCCTGGGTAACAAGTTATATCAAGGTTAGATATTGGGACACACCTCTAACTATGTGAGCATCTTGTTAATTGAGCATTATCAAACTTATAAAGCCTTTGGATAATCTAAGCATTAGAGTCTCATTTCTACCGGGTACTACGTGGATGGCTGGATGGTCTGGACTCAGCCCAGCCTTGTGGAGACAGTGTGGAAGATTGGCAGAGCCATCTCCCATACTGGCATCTAGTAGGTGCCTGGGCCCATGTCTCTGGCTGCCTGAGACGGTGGCCTGAGCTGAGCTGTGGTGAGAATACATCACCGCCACTCGTGGCCTCAGGCCTAGGATAGTCGGGAATATAAACTACAAGCCAGATTGGGTGCCGCCATTTTAAATATTACCAGCAACAACAATAGATCCTTAAAATTCTCAGATCTTTAATTTTGAAACTCAAGAAACGAAAGTATTCATTTGGGAAAATAAGAAGCCATTAATGCATTTTAAATCTAATAGTAAATAACAAAGATAATAGATTTTGTGTTTCATTTAATGCCTGATAGCTATATGACTTTAAAGTTGCTAGATATCAAAGGCTGCATATTGCAGTATTTATCATATCTATCTATCTATCTATCTATCTATCTATCTATCTATCTATCTAT